TAGGAAAATTAAAAGTGCATCCTGTCATGTATTTGACCACAATGTAATAAAGCTAGGTGACAACTGCAATAGTATCTGAAGATAATATACAAACTCAAGGGTAGTAAATGACATACTTTTGAATAATGGATGGGTCACTGAATAAATCAGGAAGGAATTAAAAAATTCCTGAAATTGGGGTTGGAGAGATGACTCAGCAGTTAAGAGCACTTACTGTTCTTGCAGAGGACCTGGGTTTGGTTCCTGGCACCCACATGGTGACTTAGAATTATCTAGTTTCATTGGCTTTGACACACTTTTTGACTTCTGTGGACACTGAACACACAGACAGTACAGAGATAAGCATGCAGTCAAAATGTCCATGTACATAAAATAAAATAAATAAATATTTTTAAATTTCTTGGCTTGAATAAAAATAAAAATATGTCAAAACTCTTTGAGACACAATGAAGACATAATTATGAAAGTTTATAGTACTAAATGTCTACATAAAAATATTTGCGGGAAGTCAATGAATAAATTAAGGATAATCATTAAGTCCTTAAAAAAAACAAGGACACAAGATAATAGATTGGGAAAAATAATCAAAATTAATGAAAATAAGAAACAATAACAAACAACACAAAGAACTAATAAAAGAAAAATGGCTCATTGAAAAGAAAAATAATATTACAAATTCTTAGCCAAATTAACCAAAAGAAGGAGAACGGAAACTCAAATGAAAAAATTTAGGGATAAAAAGGTGAACATTATGACAAACAACAGAGAAATTCAGAAAACTTTGAGGACACACTTCCAAACCTGTACTCCACTAAATTGAAAACATAAAATAAAATGATGAATTTCTAGATGTATATGACATATTAAACTTAAACCAATAAGAAATAAATAAGTAAATCTCTAATCAGCAACAAAATTGAAACAATAGTAATAATAATAACAAAGCCCCTCAAAGTAAAAGGAAGTCCAGGACAAGATTGATTCACTGCAGATTCTACCAGAACTTCAAGGAATGGCTTACACAAACTACTACTCAAATTATTTCATAAAATGAGAAAAAGAAAGGAATCCTTCTAAATCCTTCTTTTATAAAGACCACTTTACCGTGATAACAATAACAGATAAAGACATCACAGAAATTAAAATTAGAGTCTGATCTTCCTAAAAAATATAGACACAAAAAGCCAATAGAATACTTGAAAGCAAAATTTAAGATCATATTAGAAGGATCATGCCCAGTAATCAAGTTAGCCTCATTCAAGCAATACTGGGATGATTTGACATACAAAAATCAATAAGTGTAGTTCATCAACTAAATGGATTCAAAGATAGAAACACGATCATTTCAATAGATTCATATTCTAAAAAAAATTCAACGTGTCTTCATGACCAAAGCCTGAAAGAGACTAAGAATGGAAAGAGCATGCTTCAACATTGTGAAGACATAAGACAAATCCATAGTCCATATCCTGGAGAAAAAGAATTCAAACTGAGATCAGAAGCAATGAAAGGATGTTTACTCTCTCCACTCCTATTCAATAGAGTGTGTTATCTAGAGTAATAATAAAAGAATACACACTCACACATATGGGAAAATAAGTGAAATTATCTTTAACTGTAGGTGACACAACGTTACACATAACAAACCCTAAAGACGCCACCAAAAACCTCATAGAGATGATAAACACGTTCATCAAATGGTAGGCACACAAGAACTGGGAGTCTTCCTGTTTAGCAAGGACAAATACTAAAAATGAAATCATGGAAATAATCACTTTCCAATAAACACACAAAGAGAATAAGAGACAGAGATAGAGAGAGAGAAAACAACTCCACAAAACCTGGGAATAAACCTAAGGAAACAAGAAAAAAAACCTTAATAGTGCAAACTTTTAGACTCTGAAGACAAAAATTGAGAAAAAAAAACACCAGAGAATAGGAAAATATGTCAAGCTTATAGATTGCAGAGATTAATCTAGTTGAAGTAGTCATGCTACTAAAAGCAAGCTGGTGGCACAAAAGACCAGTGACAGTGGAAGCAACCATACAGGAAGTACTTGGTATCATCATAACTGAATCTAAATGATACTACATCCCCTAGTAATGAAACGACATAGTGCTGACACAAAGACACGCAGACCAGGCGAAGAGAATAAATGACCCAGACACAAGTCCACACAACTACAACTGAGTTTTTCACAAAGATGCCAAAGCTATGCATCGGAGAAAAGGTAGCCTCTTCAGCAAATGGTGCTGGGAAATTTGAATATGCATGTGTAGAAGAATGAAGCTAGATCGCTACCTCTCACCTTGCACAAAGCCCAACTTCAAATGGACCAAAAATCTCCACCTAAAGCCCTGATGCTTTAAAACTATTGGGAGGAAAAAGTAAGGAGGATGTGTCAGTATCTAGGCACTGGTGAAGACTTACTGCAAAGGACTCCGGCAGCACAGCAGACAATCAACTGCAGACTCCACTGCATAGCAAAGGATATACCAGGTGAGTGAAGAGGCAATTCACAAAATGGGAACAAACTTTTACTACCCATGCTTTTGACAAAGGACTGGTGTCTAGACTAATCAAAGAATCAAAAATATAAACATCAAGAAAACAAAGAACTCAATTAAATGGCCTAGATAATGGAACAGAGAGTTCTCAACTGATAACTATACCCATAGATCAGAGATTCTCCTGTTTACAGTGGGAAGTGGTAACTGCAGAAACTCACTGCTGGTCAAAGCAATGAGAAAAAGAGACTGCTGAATACTCAGCCACAGTAGGGCATAGCACACACACACACTCACACACATACACTCACACACATACACGTGCACACACACACACACTGACACAGACACACTCACACTCAAAAACTCACACACACACACACTCACACTCACACACACACACACACTCTCCACAAGGCTCAGGGAGCAATGTAGAAGAGGGGAGAAAAAAACGTGTAAGAACATGGAAGGAGTGGAATTAAGTGGATCATTGTCTTCAGAGCAGGGCATCACCTTTGCTTTCTTGATCTCACAGCAGTTATGTTTACCAGTACAAAAACTCTACAATTTCAGGCCTGTCAATATCAAGCCGGTGGGAGGGTCCTGTTAAGCCCCACCTCTTCCTGAGGACTTAAAGACAGATAAAATCATGAGGTTCCACCCCTCTCTGTATCTAGGAGTGGTTTATGGGGGAGGGAGAGCCTTTTCTTAGGAGGAGTTCGCATCTGTAAATAATCTCTCACCCAGCACCCTGCAAGAAAGCCTAGTAAAATGCAATGGGTTACAGGAAAAAACTCCTAAATGTAGGAAGACCAGCTCATAAGAGGGGCCAGCATCAGTGAGAATGAGAAAACGAGGGAGGGTCGCGGGTAGACCATGATGAAAGTGCATTATACACATGCACGGAAATGTCATAATGAAGTCCATTATAGTGCATAACCAATTGTGCAAAAGAAAAAATGTAGTGCTATAAATATATTTGGCTAGTAAAATACTAATATCTAGTCAGTTGCATATTTATAGTCAATAATATAACCATTAACATAACTGTATATGGGTTATTACTGATGCATCAAGATTAATAAAAAACTTACCATGATAATTTCAATTCTTAATTTAATAACTTTTACTAACAATATGTATATTGATCGTAGGTATGGTGTATACTGTGTGTGTACGCTATGTGCCTTTTCATCACTATAATGAAATGCCTAACATGGGTCATTCATGAGGGAAACAGAGTTTTCTTTCACCATGCTTGTTTGTAGCATCCGGTCAAAGAGTGGGCAGCCCATGATTTGGGTCTTCATAAAGTTGGTACACCACAACGGAAGCCAAGAAACCATAGAAGACAGAAATACGTCACATTCCTTCAGAAGTGCAGAAGCTAAGGCCCTTTCACAAGGGCTCAGCTCTTAAAGCCCATAAAACTTTCTCCCTTGGAACAATAATTTTACAGATGGAATTTTAGTGACAAACACAGCCAAACCATACCAATTAAAAATATGATTTAAAATACTTGAAAAAAATCTGGGTGTCTGAAAATGAAAAGTACTGAGGGAAATTTCCAATCTATTGAAATAATAGAAAGTTTCCATGAGACCAAAAATATTGTGCAGCACATAGGAAGCCCGGCTCATCAAGCACAGGGATTACTAAGTCATGTGTTTAGCAATTCTGCCTCCCGACACCCTCAACCTTAGACAACGGATACTGTGTGACTCGTGGTGTCTTTCAGAAAGATTCCAGAGAAGCATTGCATTCTACCATCTAGCCGAAATTGCTACTTCTGATATTCAAATCTGTTCCTCCTCTAAAATTTCCAAATAATTAAACACAGAATTAAAGCATCCAGTGAGTCTGCAGAGGTTGTGTGTCAGTGAAAGAAACTGAACTGGCTGGCAAAATGGCCTGCGGTTCGTCTAGGAAACAATCCAGCGGTTAACATCGTGATAAAGGGGATCAGAGTCCCCACAGTGAGTGTTCGAACACTGGTCAGGAAAGAGGAACAAAACCGATGAAAAGAGACTCTCGCTGCTAACCTGTGAAGGTGCACACTGAGTGCCCAGCTGTGTGCTATGTACAGGGAAAATTCAGGGTCTCGGCCTCCTGTGAACAAATGTGCCCTTGGTACAGGCAAATAAATAAATAAATAAATAAATAAATAAAACAAAACCAAACAGCAGGATTTAGAATGTACGGCTGGGTCCCACAGTGCCAGAGTTAGACTCTGAAGAAAGTCAAGCATTTACCCACCAAAACAAAACAAGGTTTTTTCAGGCCCCTCAGCCATTTCCCTTGGTGTTTGCCACCTACCCATCGTTTCCTCTTCTGTGGTCTGGAGTGAGAAGTGGCATGTTGTCCAATGAACTCCCTGTCCTTGTGCAAGAAGGGAAACTCTGACTTCATATACAGAGCACATGAACACACTGTTATATCGGATCTGTTACGGTTGTACTGTTAATAACAGGGGAAGAACTCACCTGTCAAGACTCATTTTCCACGGGCTCTTATTAAACTGAGAAGAGGAAGGAAGGGAAGAGAGCGAAGAAAGAGAAATGTATTCACCGAAATCGTCTGCCTCCCACTACACAGGTACTGTCTGCCAGTCTTCCTTGGCTTGCACAGCTCTCTTCTTAGAATGGGCAAGGAGTTTGCTAAGGGCTAGGGCAATGGAAAAGTGCAGAGTGAGGTGGAAAGAAAAAGGAAGAGAAGAAAGATCAAGATTAGCAGAAAGCTGGCTGAGGAGTCCAGGAAAGGCTGCCAGTTCGCTGTTCCTACCTTCTGCGATACTTTGAATATCTTTGAGCAAGTCCTTCGCTTCTGTGGAATTCACTCTATCTGTCCGTAAAGTGCATATTGGGGGAAAGGAAGTACCCACTGCAGGACTGTTATGGTTTATTTAATTTACAATGAGCTTGGATATGAGATGCTGAGGAGATGACACTAGGAGAAAGACTAGAAAAGCTAAGGGGGAAATGAAGTAAAAGGAGAAGAAGAAGGCTCTAGAATGTAGAAGCATTTTAAATGGGGTATTTAGAAATAAAAACTCATACATATAAGTATGAGCCTTAAAATCAGCAATGGATTACAGCAGGGGTTCTTAAGGTGTGGTTTCCAGGCTAGCAGCCCCTGGAAGCAGATTGCTGCCACACAACTCTCCTGAGTTAACGCGGAGTGGGGTCGGCAAGGCTCAGCAATCTCCGTACAACACAGATACATGGGCAAGCCATCTCCGTACAACACAATGCATGGATGAGCCTGGGCATCACTAGATACAGGCAATTGTGAATAGGACATAGTAAGGATAGAATTGACTCAATTGTCCTTTGAGTATTGCTTTGGGAAGATTTATAGAGTGTTATGTCTTTCTTCCTATAGAGAGAGGATGCTTCAGAAATTCCCAAGTGCTCCCATGGACTGTGGCTGGGGCCTCCATCCTGTTTCTCAGTGTCTGTTTCATTACCAGATGTGTTGGTGGGTTCTCAAAGTCAAATGCACTCTATTTCTCCATGGCTAAGACAACAGTAGATTCTTGCTTGGTGCACCACTTGTCCTACAAAGAGTCTTTTTTTACACAGTTTTAGATATGCTATATTTTATTATTCTTGGCTGGTTTTGATTTTTAACAGTTTTTTTACATGTGTATAATGTATTCTGTTTGCTCCTTCTCGCACAGCCTCTCATGTCCCTCTCCTCACTGTCGGTCCCCACGTAGTCCCTTTTCCAGCTTCATGACTTTTGGGTTGGTTTGGTGGCCCATTTAGTTTAACACGCGCCATCTATGTGATCATCAGATGGGGTCACATTGGGGGAGGTTGGGGTCATCGATGGGTACACAGTTGAAGAGATCAATCTCCCTCACTCCCTGAATCTAACAATAGGAAAGAGCCCAACAGAGAACAGGGTTTCCTGAGGTCCCCCTCCGACAAATGCCTGGGAACGCCATCACCTGCAGCCGCTGCTGACTACGACTGTCGTAGCTGTGTCGGGGAGCCTTATCTTCTGGCTCTTCCATCCTTTCCCTCTTCTGCAATGTTCCCTGGACCATCAAGTGGGCGACACTTGTCTCATTTAGAGCTGAGCACTCATCATTCACTCACTCTCAGCACCGTGAGTGGCCGTGCGTTTCTGCATTCTCTGCCGTTCACCAGAAGGAGAGGCTGCTCTGACGAAGACCTAAACACAGATGCATAGATGGCAACTTGATGCTGGGTTAATTTAGCTGAACAGCAGTATTCATAGGCTCAGTTAGGCCTATGATGTCCCCTGCAAAGGGTTTCTGACCGGACTGATAGGGCCAATTTCTTTCTCTTTCCTTCCTATTCCCCCTCAAGCTCCAGGCTATTTCCTAAGCCAGAAACTCAACTAGCCTAAAACCACGGCTGAATCTCAGTCAGTTGTGAGATATATATCTCACGTTTTTGTGAGATATAGTTTCCACCCCCTTCGTGCTCTTGGCATTTTCCTCTCAGACCCTATCATTTGGCCAGTCTTCTCTATGAAATGCTAACCTGCAGCGCAGGGGACTGGTCAAGGTCAAAGGCACAGAAATTTGCTTTGTGGATGGAACATCTAAATGGTTGCACTCGGCACAGGAGGGACTGACTGCAAACATATTTTTGATCTGAAGTAGTTTATTCCTTTTTAAGTCAGGAAAGCCATGAACTGTGGGTTACTCTTTATTTGAGGAAGTGGACCCCGGCGTGGAGGGGGAAATAGGTGGTGAGGAAACTTCCGGATCACTCTTGCCCGTTTTGTGACGAGCAGAGAACTGGGGGAAAGGGGTTCATTACTGGAAAGAATACAGTGTGTTGACTGGGGCCCTTTCCTCTTGCAGTAACGTATCGCAGCAGTCAAATTGACGAGCAGAAAAAGCTGCTGGCCCATGAAACTGTCAAGGAGCTCTCCTGCTACGGGGTCACGTCAGGTACAAGCGTCTGCAAAGCTGAACACTAAAGCATTTATGACGACTCGTTTTTAGGTTCTAGACTGTCTTTAGAATAAGGAAGCTTTACTGGGATTATTTTCTGTTTTTCCAAACAAGATGCTAAAATCTGCCCATGCAGAAGTGGGGCACGGTTGCTGATAACAGAGAGACAAAGCACTGGAAATGCAGGTGTCCCTGGGTCAGAGATCTCAGGGACGTTATAGTAAACCCTGAGGATAAATTTCAAGTACACCTCTAAATGCCAACTCAGAAAAGATTTATTGCCAGGAATGGAAGTTTTTCTTTATTAACCTGCTTCCAAAATGAAGTGGAGGAGAAAAACATGTACAGCAAATTTTAAAATACCTAAGAAAAAAATACTCAAATATTCTCATGTATCAGGGTAGTCCAAGACATAACAAAATGCCCCTAGACACTGGCAAAGGAAGTTACTTCCTTGAGCGACAGTTTTCTTATCATTAAATTAAGAGAGATTTAGTTTAATAAAATTCAATGAATGAAATTCTGTAGTTCTAAAACATTTATCCTGGTTCAGAGAATTGTTTAGCTGCTGAGGGGGTTTGTTAGAGAGTCACCCACAGAAAAGTCAAGAGTGACCTTGCTAGCCCAAGTACAGACACTCGAGTTCTGTGGCGACTGCGACCCAGGGAAACTGCACATATCGCTGTCCTTACTGGTCCTGACAGCTAGAAAATAAAGATTATTGCTGCTTGGTTTATTGACACTGGAGTTACCTAACAGCCCTAAAGAGTAAGGTGCGGAGTACGAGGGAGATTCTAAGCTCAGGGATCCGGGTGTTGGACTCCACCAGATCCCAAGCAAAATTCCCAGGCACTCCCTGAACCTTCTCTCTTTCTAGGTTCTGTCAGGAGCTGCTGTCCTTTGAACTGGAAACGTTTTCAGTCCAGTTGTTACTTTTTCTCTACGACCACCCTGACCTGGCAGTCAAGTTTAAAGAATTGCTCAGAAATGGGCGCTCACCTGGTGGTTATCAACACTCCGGAAGAGCAGGTAATTGGCGAACAGGCTCCTCTGTGTCGATGGGATGTCTTGCCGATCTTTCTTCCCACACCTGTGCATAAGGTTTGAACCACAGGTGTCTGCCAAAGGAGCAGGCTGAGATGGATGCCGCTACCACTGTTTCGCCGCGTGGCATACTTTGGGCGCGGCATTATGAGAACCTTTAATAGGCTGATTTACAAGAAGAGATTTGATATTAACCAGAATGGGAAGGGGGAGAAGGAGCTGACTTTTAAATAATATTTTGTTGATGAATGCTTTGTGTGAATGAGGGCAAACTACTACCCATTGTCTCCCGGCTCTGATTAATTTCTCATGATAAATAGATACCTCAGGTGGGCTGCCGTTAGCTATAGGCCAACTTTGAACGAATTCCATGGTGGCGCACACCTTTAATCCCAGCACTCGGGAGGCAGAGGCAGGTGGATCTTTGTGAGTTTGAGGCCAGCCTGGTCTATAAGAGCTAGTTCTAGAACAGGCTCCAAAGCTAGAGAGAAATCCTGCATCAAACAACAACAACAAAACAAAAAAAGAAACTCCTTTTAGAGGTTAGAGGGGTTTTATCTATTTAATTATGTTTTTGCAATTTCTCACAATAAAAACATTAGTAGATAGCCTCCAGTAAGCTTACAGTGTTAAGAATGCTTATTTAGTGTGTAGTCTCAAGTCTGCTTCACCTCTTCTGAAAACAAATCACTTTCAGTATCTCTTCAGAACCAAGCTAACTGATCGTGTCTTTTAGTATTATTGCTGTTATTGCCATTATTCTGTTTCTTCCTTAGGAATTCCTTTTTAAGACAAAACCCAAGAGGAAAGAGTTTTATATTGGACTGACAGACCAAGTGGTTGAGGGTCAGTGGCAGTGGGTGGACGACACTCCTTTCACTGAGTCCCTGAGGCAAGTATGTCTTATGGGAAAACTGTCCCAGGTAATTGTAGTGAGACCACGCGGAGGGAACTCTCAGACTGGCGTTTGTTATGACGACACACTTTCAGGTCCATCCCTGGTGATGTTGGCTGCAGGGAGAGGGAAATTGGAGGTACAGGCTTCTAAGCCTTCCATTCCCTAGGAATGTCAAAAGGATGGAAGAGAAATAATAGATGAAAATTATAAGGAAATTAGAACTGAAGATCATTGATTGCAGTGTAGATTTTAAAAAGAATAAGGTTTAATCTTATGCCCTAAAATAGAAATAAGTGAAATATAGTAATTTAGAAAGGACAGATTACGGCCAGGCGGTGGTGGCGCATGCCTTTAATCCCAGCACTCGGGAGGCAGAGGCAGGTGGATCTCTGTGAGTTTGAGGCCAGCCTGGTCTACAAGAGCTAGTTCCAGGACAGGAACCAAAAGCTATGGAGAAACCCTGTCTTGAAAATTCAAAAAAAAAAAAAAGAAGGAAAGAAAGGGCAGAAAATTCTTATGATCTTATTGCCTTTCCCCTTAATAATGACCTTATGTCATTATTACATTGCATTTTAGAATTTGCAGTTTGTTTTATATTATTTCTCTTTATTGAAATTATACATTTCCGAGACATGTCAACATCATTAATCTTTATCAAGCATTTGAGGAAACTAAGCATCAAAGGGACTAAGTGACTGACTCAGCTAACAAGCAACAGTTATGAATCCAGGGCTTGGCTACCCTGAATCCAGAGAAGACATGCTTCACTGCACAGTGAAGGATGCCCTATGAGAACAAAGAGCAAGAGTAGCACGAGGTAGGAGCGCAGAGGCGGTGCAGTTGCCGGTCCAGGTCACCAGTCCATATCACATCTCTTTCTGGGTCCAAATCTACGGCACTGCATGACAGTATAGAAATCCAGGAAGATCCCACCAGCTGATGACATAGGCAAGTGGGTTCTTCTTCATTGATAAAATGGAGATTATAATTTTACCTCACAGAATGATAGTTAAATAACAAATACATAAGTTGCTTAATGTGTTGTCTTGCTGTGAAACAATGGTTTTACCCTGTAAAGATTTGTTACTTGTACTTGATTAATAAAATGCTGATTGGCCAGTAGCCAGGCAGCAAGTATAGGTGGGGTGACCAGGCAGGAAGTAGAGGCGGGACAATGAGGACAGGAGAATTTTGGGAAGAGGAAAGATTCAGTCTGCAGTCATCACCAAGATGCAGAGGAAGCGAGATAAGAATGCCTCACTGAAAAAGGTACCAAGCCACGTGGCTAACACAGACAAAATTATGGGCTAATATAGGTTATAAGAGTTAATAAGAAGCCTGAGCTAGTAAGTCAATCAGTTTATGATTAATGTAGACCTCTGTGTGTTTGTGACTAAACAGCTATGGGATCTGGTGGGACAGAAACATCTGCCAATATTGTCCCCTTTTCCTGAGATTTAAAATCTCCTATGTTTCCCCTTCGCAGCTTCTGGGATGCTGGGGAGCCTAACAATATAGTTTATGTGGAGGACTGTGTCACCATAAGGGACTCTGGAAATCCCAGGAAGAATTGGAATGATATACCGTGTTTTTACAATATGCCTTGGATTTGTGAAATGCCAGAAATAAATCCTTTGGACTAAATGCAAATGAACACAGAAGACATGACCTGAATGCATAAGGAGGAACAAGAGTGTAGCAACACCCAAAATCTAAAATCCAGCATGAGAAAACATCTATTATAGATTATAAGAACCACATATGTATGTGTTACTCTAATATAAGTAAAAGTGAGGGTTTTTTTTTGTTCCCATTGTTAAAATCCGTGGTACTGACTTATGTTTTCAACATAACCTGCAAGTACGGTTTTCAGAACATGCGGAGTAATCCACTCATAAATGCAGTGAGAGGAAATGGACTTTCTTGTTGACATATGGTTTACTTATGAGAATTGAAATGAAATACAGGCACAGAGAGAGCACACAGTCCAGTGAAGAAGAGGTTTATAGAATGAGACTTTGGATGACCACCAGATCGTCCTCTGCTTCCTACTCCCTAGGATCTGGCTTATCTTCTCATGCTGTTAATGCACAGATCGCATCCATGTTCTCCAACAACAAGGAAAACACATCTTTAAGTATTGAAACTTAAAATGTACTGCTGCTCAGGAGAATACCATGGCTGTCAGCACATCTCTAGAGAGAGAGGCCCAACCAGCTCCAAACAGACTGTGGTCTAGTCTACTCTTCCCTGGACCCCCATTTTCTCTGTGTTCTCTTCTATCAACTGGATCTCTCCTGTATTTGTGTCTACTGCCCAAGTAGAACCAGATTTTAAAGTGAAACTGTCCTTCAAAAATTTACTTTCACACCTTCATGTCTCCAGACTTTTATTTATTGCATAATATTCTGTCAATACAGACCGTGTTTCTTCCAGTCAGAGTCATAAAGGGACCTTCAGCAGCATTCCCACATTGGGATAATGTGTACCCTTGAGTAGGGAAATTAGACTAAACAAATCAATTTGATATACTAGCATCCTTTTAAATTAAAATTAAAATTCTTTACCAGCATTTCTATTAGGCATTTTAACAATCTGATTTTGAAATTGATACCCTTCATATTTAAAAACTAAGTCATGTAAATGTGGTGAGGGAAGTCCTTCTGTATATGTGTTGCTTTTGTTGGTTAATAAAGAAGCTTCTTTGGCCTGTGGAAGGGCAGAATAGAGCTAGGTAGGGAAACTAAACTGAATGCTGGGAGAAAGTAGATGAAGATGAAGTCAGTTAGATGCCACATAGCCACTGCCAAAGGAGACAGATGCCCGAGAACCTTACTAGTAAACCATGAGCCTCGGGGTAAAATATAAAATAATAGAAATGGGTTAATTTAAGATATAAGAACTAGCTAGAAATACACTTAAGCTATTGGCCAAACAGTATTGCAAATAATATAGTTTCTGAGTGATTAATTTGGGTCTGAGTGGCTGGGAAACAAACAAGCAACCTCTGACTACATAAATGGAAAGAAATCTTACAACTATACATTTGATTTTCTAGTTCATTTTTTTGAAATGAATTTATTTTTGTTTTAAGATTTGATTCATGTATAGAATTCACATTTAACAAACCTACCCTTATTCGTTCCACTACAACCTGCCCTTTATCCACCTCACTTCTTTTCCCTCCAAGTTTTATGTGCTGTTTTTTTGTTTTAAGCCTACTGTGTCTGCTCAGTATGTACTTGGGTGTAAGACCTATGGAGCATGGGTAGCCTCACAAGAACCACACTCCACCTCCTCCAGCAGCCACCCTGCCAATAGCTCCTGCTCTGGGGATGGAACTTCATGAGCTCCATGCCAGTCATGCTGGGATTTGGAATGCTTTATATTGTCTTTATTGTGTTGAGTTATGTCCCCTGTGTCCTTAAAATCTCCAGGAGCTTTATCATGAAGAGATTCTGGATTTTGTCAAAGGGATGATGTTATGGGATATTTTGATTGTGTTTTGACACTCCCAAGACTGACAATAAATAAAGCTTACCTTGAGTCAGCCTGAACTAGGTATTAGCTGACCAAATTAGCCATAGAGCTTTTGGAGGGCCCAGGACATATAGAGAGACACAGGAAGTAGTAGGGAGAGGCTTAGAGAGATGCTTGGCCCTTTAGAATCGAGGAAGGAGAAGGGAAAGAGGTCACTCTTTGCTTCTCCACTGCTTCCTTCATTTTCTGATCAATCAGGTTTTTACTCTGCTATCTGACTTACGAGTTTTTATTGATAAAGGAATAATTAGGTAGATGCTTCATCTGATGTCCAAATTAGGACATGAGATCATGAGGTAGCCACTTGCCCCCAGCTTTGCAGCTCTGGAATCACTGCCATGGCTGGTTTTATTTCTCTTCCCTCTGGCCCTCTGTGTAAGTCTGGGGTTCCTTTCTACACCAGCCTCCAGTTGCTGCCCTTCCCCTGCCCCAAATGCTACAGGTAGTTGGGTCCCAAAAGCCAACAACAGTAGCTGCTCGCTGTTGGCCAGTGCCGTCATTCAGGCACCCCAATGCTGTGACTATGGTCCCCTGTGTCCAGTTTTCAAGCGGCTCGCGTCCTCTCCCTGTGTGTTGAAGACTTTCCCTGGACCCCCGCTCTGGCTCCTGCCATGCCAGGTTGGCCATCTCAACTCCAGCTCAGGCTTTTACCACTACTGCCACCAGCATACACTCTCAGGCCCTAGCTACATGTGAGTAGCTGCAGCTGCCCGCAGCCAGTCTGTGAACTTCCCACATTCTCTGCCCAGCCATGCAATGCAGCAACGTCCAGCCTCACACTTCACTGCCTCTATTATCAGATCTGGTAAGATACCTGGGAATTCTTAAGGGAGTAATTAGTTTTAAACAAATAGCATTGGAAAAGAGCTTGCAGCAATGTTGCAATACGGAGCGGCGGGCTGTGTCCCGCCACCCGGCTAGCTTTACCCAAAATAATTACACGGAAACTGTATTCTTTTAAACACTGCCTGACCCATTAGTTTCAGTTTCTTATTGGCTAGCTTTTACATATTGATCTAACCCATTTCTATTAATCTGTGTAGCCCAAGAGCTGGCTTACCAGGAATGATCTTAACCTGCATCTGTCTGGAGTGGGAGAATCATGGCGACTCCCTGACTCAGCTTCTTTCTCCCAGCATTCCGTTCTGTTTACTCCGCCTACCTAAGGGTTGGCCTATCAAATGGGTCTAGGCAGTTTCTTTATTAATAAGAAATCACTCCCACATCATTTCCCCTTTTTCTGTTTAAACAAAAAAGAAAGGCTTTAACTTTAACATAGTAAAATTACATATAGCAAAACAGTTATCAAGTAAGAATTACAGTTACAATATTTATATCTATTTTATCTTTTATCATAACTAAGGAAAACTATAACTATCTATTCATTCTTCAACTCCATCAAAGACTCCAGAAGGATATAATACTACTTAAGTAAACAAGAAATAAGAAAACTCTAGAAATGACAGAGACATCTTGCTGCCTGGACAGTCACCCAAAGTTCTTTTGTACCTTTGGGGCATCCATCTTCAGCCTTCAGGCCCAAAGTATCCAGCAGACATTTCCACGAAGCAGGAAATTCCAAAGACAGTTCAGTCACTATCTGCTGTGTCCTGCAGAATGTCTCGCAGACTCTTTCATGAGTCATGAACCCCGAAAGATCATCTCACCTTTAGGCAAGTTCAGCAGTCCTCTCTCTGAGGGTTCTCTGTGTCCATTTTATGCAACAGTCCAGGCAAGAGCAGTTTCTTGCCCAAATGGCTATCAAACTCCATAAGGATCCTCTTCGATGCCCATCTTCCTCTCGAAGTAGATTGGTGCTGCCAGGAGCAGACGTGTCTCATTGTCATGAAAAGTCCTAAGTTATTAAAATATTTTAAATGCCATATTCTGTAGCCTTTGAGAGATATGAAGAATGCCTATCTGAAATATATCTCTATATATCTAGAAAATCTAAGTAACATGACTACAAACTTGACTATTATGATTATCCATCAACAACCTATATTTCCTAATTATACATTACATTTTAAAAATGAACTACACAATCACACCTTATTCAAGATCAAAAATACATATACATATAACAAAATTGACCTTAAAATCCACACCAATGCAAATTATTCATACCTATATCATATCCCCCTTTAAATGTAAAAGAACATTTATAAACAATATTTTGGAAACATGGGCGCAGTTTTTTCTCTCCAAACTGCTTCCTGCTGAATGGGGGCGTTGTTAATTAGGTCTTTCATGGTATAACCTGTGTGCTAGTTTCATCTCAGTTGGCAGTTGAGCGAAGCAATTTTCTGAAGATGTTCACAACAACCTTTCAGGAGGGCGTGGTCTATCATACCAAATTGGGATAGAAGAAATCCATAGGGTCTGGTCCTCTGTGAAAACAAAAGAAGACCCTCTCCAAAGCATCATATTCTTAAACCCAAATTTTGAAATCGTAATACCCTTATATCCATTCTGGTTTAGCTTAGCAGCCCATGTAATGAAATGTCTCTCTGTACTTAGCTCCTTTATAGTCAAAAATTTTAAAGAAAGCACAATGTACATAATCCAGACTCTCTGTGAATTTTCCATTTTTACATGGCTTATTTTTTTTTATTTCTTTTAATCTCTTAACTATCTGTACTCTGTCTCTTTAAAGACTTTACCCTTTTTTTAAGACATTTGTTTTATTGTCTATATTCTTATTATTCTCTCTCTCAAGCCTATGTACATTCATCCAACGCTGTGATCCACTGAGGTCTGTTATGTCTGAATCTGTTTTATTGTGAATCTGTAATATTTTTACTATCCAGGAGCATTTCTTAAAATGTTAAGAAGTTGTTAAAAACTTAAGTTGCACCATGTACAGGTAATACGGTACCACCTGTGTCCTGCCCAGTCTAAACTTTAACTGTGCTGTTTTTATGGTAATTACGGTAGTTCCTGCCAACCAGCACAGTTCAGCAAGGAGCAGCCGCTCCTGCCTCAGATCCATTTGGTGCCCCTGAGCTGTGCACAGTTCCAGGCACACAGCAAGTCCTCATTGGAGCTGCACTCAGTAGTTTAGTTTTGAGACTGAGCATGCAGCACAGAAACTCTTTTTATCCAAGTTACAACCAAATCTGACACGCAGAGCACTGCGCAGTCTGAAAACACGTCTCTTTCACCATGCTCTTCCGCCTGCCTAAGCCTGATTATACCATCTGCCCAGGTGCAGGCGGGGAGTGCTGAGAGCACTCTCCTTCCGATCCCAAGCGGGAACACAAACATCCAGTCCCATAAAATCCATTGAAATGCTTTAAAGCCAGAGTTTGCACTGGCGGCACAGTCCCAAGAAGCCGCACTTTAAAATGACGCAGCTTTTTTTTTTGTTGCTGTTGCCGAATCAGGAAATCTCTCTACAGCACGCCACCAACAAACAGCAAAAATTTGTGTTAAAGTCTCTCTCCCTTATTTTTAAGCCTTCTCAGGTTTTTAAGTGGATTTAGTCCATCACGTCGGGCGCCACTCTGTTGTGTTACAAGCGGCAGGGCTGCGTCCCTGGCACGCGGCCGCCCGCATGGCTAGCTTTACCCGAAATAATTACACGGAAACTGTATTCTTTTAAACACTGTCTGACCCATTAGTTTCAGTTTCTTATTGGCTAGCTCTTACATATTGATCTAACCCATTTCTATTAATCTGTGTAGCCCACGAGCTGGCTTACCAGGAATGATCTTATCCTGCATCTGTCTGGAGTGGGAGAATCATGGCGACTCCCTGACTCAGCTTCTTTCTCCCAGCATTCCGTTCTGTTTACTCCGCCTACCTAAGGGTTG